ACTTGTCACTCTTCTCATCGTTTTTCTCTTCGGATGCTGGCATCATGACCTTCCAGGTCTTCCCTTTTCCCACAGACTCAGAAGGCTGTTTCTCAGACTCGTCACTCCTCTCACTGGGCTGATCCACTGGTTTGGAGGCTGCGGCTTGCTGCTCTTGTATGGCCTCGAAGACTTGCGTGGCATCATAGGGTTGGGTGTCAGCATTCCAATGCTGCTGCCCGAGCAATGCCACTTTGCGCTGTTGCATCATTCGCCTAGGAGGGCTCAAAGATAATTGCTACCATTATACCTTATGTAGAAGTATAATTTTAGAATCTCTTAGATGTTGGGTGTCTATTTTTTTGGGTGGGTGAAGTAGCGGACAAGTTATACATTGATAAGAACACCTTTGTGTTGGAGGTCCTACTTCGCTTGGCCCAGTATAACCACACATGATGAGCCAAGCAGCTCTAAGAAGGCCAAGCGGTTTCGCACTTGCCCAACCATTTCCAGCGTCAAAGGTTTTCCATCATGTAGAGCAAGACTATCGATGGTGAGCTCGGCAGTTTCCACTTGTGGAAGTGGCTGAGGTGAACATGTTGGACTTTTCGGGATATCACCACCCAAAGAACAGCACAAGGCTTCCTTCATCCTCTCAACCACCTCAGCGGGGTTCCCAGGGCTACCAGGTAGTGCATATTCATCATGCAAGCACTGGGCAGGAGCCTCTTCGATCTCTTCAGCAGCCTTTGGATCTGCCGGCTCTTCTGCTGCAGACCCAATTGATGATGAAGATTGGATTCTTGGTGAAAAATATTCACCAATCAACTCGAAGAGAGGACGCAGGCGAGCATCCTAGGTTGGGTGGACCCGCAGAGTGGGTTACTTTCTTGAGAAAGGGAAAATACATACACACCACCAAAAATACATCAACAAAAACAATAGCTGGATCAAGAGTCTTTCTTTTGGGTTCCATTGTGTCTGCGAAAGGTAAACGATATGAATGAGCGAATGGCTACAGACTCACAATGGATTGGCCCAACTTCAAGTGGAAGGCGTAGGTCCTCCCGCAAAGCTTTCACCTGGGGCCGGCTTGAATGGCAAAGCTGACTGGGTGCTTTGAAACACTGGAGTTTGTTTTTGGTCATTCTCCCACCTGCTCTCTGACCTCATCAATGTTTACAGTCTTCATGGAGTCCGTCAACTGGGGTAGCCAAATCCGTAAGACAGCCATGATAAGATCCACATTGAGGGCCAAGTTCTCTTGACTGATCAACCCTTTCTTCTTTTCACACTCCCAATGGAGCAGGGCATGATCTAGCGCTCGCTGCCTGAGCATTGCATTATTGGCAATGATTCTTGCCAATCCCACCAAGCCCACACATTTCACTTCCTCACTGGGTTCAGCCATGTTTCCAAAACGCTACTTCGCACTTCCCTGAAAGTAGCTCGATCCACAAAAATGCCTGCATGTGATGACGCTGGCCTCGCAAGCCCAGGAATTCCAACATCATCAAAAAGGTTCACGCAACATCGAGGTCACTTGATGTTGGGACAGCCGCTCTGGAGCTTCTGGCCTGGGCTGTAAGACCAAGGTTGTTTAAGGATGTTTAAGGTGATGTGGTCAACAAGTTTGCTGGCTCTAGGGAAAAGACGGTTGCCCTGTGTACCAGCCAATGGCCAGGATCACTGAAAAGAGACCTCACAAACACAACAAATAGCACAACTAAAAGGAAGAAGTTCCAGCTGTGCAGACTAAAAGGAAGAAGTTCCAGCTGTGCAAAAACATGTTCAAGACCGTTCAAGCCTCATGTGCAAAATCTCATGTGCTCCGGCAGGTCGACATGGGCCTGGGTGGTGAGAGAGTGGCCAGTGTATCCCGGACAGTTGGCGAGTGATGAGAAGCTGTATGAAGCAGAGCGGAGTTGCTATTTTCCATCTATCCATCCAGATCAGCTGCAAGACTGGAAACTCACTAGATCGCCCCCTACGGCATAAAAAGAACTCAGTCTACTTGGAGGTCATGTCAGGCTCCAACTGCTGTTCCGCTGCACCTGAAAAGCTAGGTAAAGCACTGCAATCCAGTTGTACATTCTGATCATTCTGGAAGTAAAAGAACACACAATAAGACAAGCTACGTTCAGACTGCCATTTTCGAAGGACATTGGCCAGTTCACGAATATGACCACCAACACGATAGTTCTCAGCAATTGTCATTGCCTTTTCCTCGCTCAACTGGTCAGGAGAGTCCTGAGTGGAATAAAATGGGGGCACTGGGTAGCACTGGCGAACTCAGATTGCGCATTCTATGTTGGTTGACATCGCAATGAACTACTTGCAAAAAAGGTTCCACTGGTGTCTCTTTGGGCCACAAAACTAGTTGAGCTTGCTCAAACCATTTGTTCGGCATCTCATGCAGCCCCACCTCTCTAAGTACATCCATGGCTTCTTTGGTAGGAGCTTGTTGTTAGATCTCTTGAGCAAAATGTTGCTCCACAACAAAACGTTTTCAGGAAACAGTCAAAAAAAAGACTCAGTGCATTGCACCCACCACATCCCAGTGCTAGGGCAAGCGCGCCAGAGTGCCAAAGTGCACCCTCAACGTGATTGAGCCAGCCAAAAGGCTGCAGCTGCTAGATTTGTGAAAAACGTCATGAATCTGCGATGTCCGGGTAAAAGTGCCAATTGGCTTTTTTTTTGCCATTGGCAATTATTTGTGCCAAGAAGATCCCCTAGGTATATATATCCACCCTCAATTCTGTACATATTGATGTCTCCTGGCAGGAAGCTCTGCTCTTTTCAGCATCTTCTGCTGCTTGGCGCACATCCTCGAGTCATCGGGAGGCACGCAAGCTTGCTATGCAACTGTGGATGACTCCAACCCTCTATTCCAACTTGTTCAAGAAAACTGGTAAGTCATCCATTGTAATCCTCAAGTCTGCCAGCGCTGAAGGTGCATTCCATTGCCGTCAAGCGTTTGTTGCAATGGGGGGTCGTTCGATTTGTTCGGGAATACGGTCTGTACTTTGGTTCCAAACTTGCAAAAGGGAAAATTCCATTTCCAACCCTTGGGTTCTGATCTATTGGTCGACAAAGGCCCAAGTTAGTTGTGAACAATAGGCCAAACCTACGGATGGGTTTGGTTCGTCAAAACTCAAAACAATAGCATGCTCATTGATATATTATCCCCAGCTACTAATACTAAACGTAGCCCTACAGTGCCCTACAAACAATAGCACACAAAAGATCACAAAAGCAAATGTGTCAGGCTTCAAACAAAATATACCATGTGCAAATTGGGCTTGCAATTGGGCCCTCTGAAGCGCAAAACTCTGTCCTTGGCCTGTTGTGCTTCGGCTGCCAACTGCTTCCGACATTCGCTTCGTAGCTGTTGGGCCTCCAGGCGCAGCTCCCGGAGCTCCTGGGGTGGAAGGCCGTGCGTCAGGGACAGAAGTCATGTTTCCATTTGTTCAGATCTAACCGTCCAATCGTTTCTGTGATTTTCTGGCAATATGCAGGGAACTGACACTCGTTTTGGTCAATGAAATATTAGGCACATACCGTAACATACCCGATGAAAACAAGGGTGCCCCGATGCGGAACAGTGGGAGGAATTCAAACAGCAATAAGATTTCCAACCTGAGAGGAATCAATGGCCCCAACAAAGGAATCCAACCGGACAAAGGGATACAAATGGAGGTACCAGTTCTTGCCACTCTATATAGGTATTGCCTTTCGTGCAATATGATACAATGTTGAAACTCGTAACCATGGGAATGCCATGGGGCCCGGTCGCCGTGGGAGGCCTCCAGTTGCTGGGCAGCTAAGGCAGACTGCTGATGGTGGGCGTCTCTAAGGCAATCAGCGTCGTGTTGAGCCTTGTGAAGATCCTCTCAAGACGGGTGGCAAACTGAGCTCGCTGAGCTAACAGTTCTTTGTGCCCCATAAGAGCTGGTCAAGGTGGATCTGCTGTAGGGCATTGGGTGAGTCAAAGTTGCTATATATAAATGGTTGCGAATATATTTCTGAAATGTTTTTCGTTTTTTTTGGAATTTTTGTTTTTCGTGTTTGTTTCGTGGCAGGTGCAGTACTTTGTGGACCTTGCAAAGCACATTTCGTGGCAGGTGCAGGACTTTGTGGGCCTTGGAGTGCAGAGTTTGTGGCAGGCGCAGGACTTTTTGTGGGCCTTGAAGTGCAGATTTCGTGGCGGGCGTAGTACTTTGTGGCCCTTGCAGTGCAGATTTTGTGGCAGGCGCAGGACTTTGTGGACCTTGAAGTGCAGATTTCGTGGCAGATGCAGGACTTTGTGGGTGTGGAAGTGTAGAGTTGGTGGCAGGTGCAGGACTTTGTGGGCCTTGGAGTGCAGATTTCGTGGCAGGCGCAAGACTTTGTGGACCTTGAAGTGCAGATTTCGTGGCAGGTGCAGTACTTTGTGGATGTTGAACTGCAGAAAGATAGAAAGATAGAAAGATAAATTGATAGATAGATAGATTAGATTAGATTAGATTAGATTAGATTATAGTGAACTTCAGACAGATAGAATATTAAGGTGCATTAGGTAACACATAGAATTTTTTTTGAAGCTAACAGATAGAATTGTTCAGTTTTTTGAAGCCAGCAGATAGAATATTCAGCATACCTCAGATTCACTGCGCTACCTTTTCCCACCCATGACATGTGTTTCTTCAACTTCTCATCCAAACCTATCCAACCAATATTCTAAGTGTTTCCCCAAAAAGATATAGAATAATCACCTAATGCCCCGGGGGCATTATTAGGTAATATTCTAAGTGACTGCAGGCCACTATAGATAGATAGATAGATAGAGGGGGAATTTTTGCTTGGTTAGAAAGTTTTGCGCCGGGGATCACCTTAAAATATTGATTTCGTGGCAGGCGCGGGTGTCGGGGATGAAGTGCAGATTTCGTGGCGCGGGAGGGGTTGGGGGGGGTGCAGCGTCCCCCCCAGCAGCACACCAGATCCAAAGGTGAGCAGCTCGTGCTTGCTTGCTTGCTTGCTTGCTTGCTTCCTTGTTTGGTTTCGTCTCTGCAACGAAAACAACAGGAAAAGCAAATACAAAAAGAGAAAGGAGAACAGCTGCCAAAAGAAAGAAAGATAGATAAATAGATAGGTATAGACAGATAAGCCAAAAGCCACAAAAGCCAAAAGCCACAGAAGCCACGAAAGCCAAAAGCCACAAAAGCCAGAAGCCACAGAAGCCAAAAGCCACAAAAGCCAGAAGCCACAGAAGCCAGAAGCCACGAAAAACAAAAAAAAACAAAAAAGAAACAGAAAAATCCAAAAATAAATACCCCTCCTATATAAATATAAATATATATATATTATATATATATACACCTGAGAAGGGAGGGGACAAAAGCCGAAAGCCAGCCACCGTAAAATATATCAATATGGCTATGGGGGGTGAATGCGGGAGCCCTGGTGAGCTCCCCACCTCTTTTCCTATCACCTCCTCCCCCGCTACATGAACTCCCACTCCATATGGGGTGCCCTTTTGCGTCCGGTCAACAGGCCTCTTCACCATAAAACAAGGGCACCCCCAAGCAACTCAAAGCTTGCCCGCTGCATTCTGTTCCCTCCCTGTTCTCAATGGATGGGTCACATCGTTTCTTGCAATCCCTCTTTTCCTATCACGTCCTCCTCCACTATGCCTGTCTCGTCCACGTGAACTCTCACCCCATATGGGGCGCCCTTTTGAGTCCGGCAGCTAGACCTCTTCACCGTTAACAAAGGGCACCCCCAAGCAATTCAAAGCTTGCCCGCTGCATTTTGTTCTCTTTCCTGCCCTCACGGGCCACAGCATTACATGAGCTCGCACCCGATATGGGCTGCCCTTTTGCGTATAGTTGACAGGCGTCTTCACCATTACATAAGGGCACCCCCAACCAACTCTAACATGTCTTGCAAGCACTATGCCATGTCTTCCACCTACGCTATGCCTGTCTTCCACCTTCCTTACATCATTCTGGTTCCTCGCAGATCACACAATGTCTTAAGAGACGCACACACACACACACACACCTCCCTTTCACACTACTTCACTGGCCATGAGAGGCGCACATCTCCCTTTTTTCTGGAGCAATTCCAACAACTATTCGCGTCCCGTTGTCCCCTCTTTCCTATCATTGACATGAACTCCCACCCCTAGTAGAAAACGGTTTGCATTGCCTCCTAAGCCCCTCGTGATGCTAATGATGCACTACTGGCCGTCAATTACATCACCGGCATCACAACATCCCCAAAAACTACTAATGTTCACGACCAAGTGGCCACCTCTCTTTTTTCGCTCTCCCCCACCAGGCTCTAGGTCAGCCTCTCCGAGATTGGCCTGCTCGCAACCACCCCGCCCCTTTACTCACTTCGTTCGCATAGCTACCTCAAGCCTTGCCTATCGGCTGGCTTTCGTGATATATACCATTATATACCCTGGACAAGAAAGTGAAAGCACCGCCAAAAGGAATCACAAATGTCCTTCACAAGCTGCTGTAGGATCTCTAGATATCACTAGGCCTCTAAGGCGCCGTTTGTAGGTTTTAGAAGAACCTGTGCCAAGAATTCTCGGCAGGTGGAGCTTAGACCCTGACCTCGGCGTGTCTGAAAGACACTGCAATCTTTTCAGAGCTCTCAGCCCTCAGCCGATCTGTTTCTGATCGGGCCTTCTGCAAGTCCTGCCGAGTTAAATCTTGTCATTCATGGTTGGTGGGAAACATGACCTGAAGTGAATGTTGCGAGGCCTCTTTCATCAGGCGTGACTAAGGTTTTGATAGGGTGTCTTCAATCCACGTGAGAAAACATTTGGAGTGTTGCTTGAAGTGCATGATGTGGCTGTGGCCCATGCCGCTGATAATTACCAACAAATTGTGCAAACCTCTGTCGCAAATATTCGCAATTCTTGATTTGAAGGGGGAGGCATAAGATCCACAGCCCCTGAGGGCCATCAATATGAGACTTTCAATTTCACCGTGAGGGTGAATTCGCACACAAAGGGGCTTGGGAAATTGTTTCATTGCCTTGCACGTTCGTAACTACATTTTGCAGGGAATGGGCACAGCTTCTGACGAAGCACCTGAGTTTTTGCTGATCGGCTGTCTTGTCTATTTGTAGTACCTTCTTACGGACGAAGAATTCACTAACCCAGCAAATCCACAATGAACCAGCAGTTGAGTTGCTGAAGAAAGTTTAAAGCAACAAAAGACCGCCGCCAGTCTGAAGGGCTCAATGAAGTTCTTGAACACAAGTCAACGATTTGCCAACACCCCATCCATTTACCACCCAAAAAGGCCACAAATGACAAATGCGTTGATGTGCATGTCCAAGAAACTTGACAGGGCCAGGATTCAATAGGATTCACCCCTTGCCGTTGCCTCTTCGCAAATCGCTCTGCGTCGGTCTGCTTCTTCTTTGGCTTCTTGCAATCCCTCTCAGCAAGAAACTGGGAGGCAATCAGCGATGACGAAACACTGGGAAACTATTGTGCTGGACTACTTGTGGCTCTTCAAGATATGCTTCAGTGATGAACTTCAAAACTAGTAGGGCAGAGTATTCAGAGGAATCCCAGTCAATGCTCCTCAAACAGCACCGCGTGAGACGCTTGTTAGGTGTTGTTCAAATCTGGCCTTGCAAATCGCTCTTTGTCGATCTGCTTCCTCCTGGTTCATCCGGGCCTCCTGAAGGATCCATAGATCTCCAAGGGCTTTCTACAGTAACAATCTCTGTTGATCTTTCATGTCGTTTCAACACAACTTGTGTATATATATATATATACCACTTATTTAGTCACATTATAAATTGATAGTCTTGATGCCACCATCCATGCAGGATTCGCCTGTGTCTTTTGATGGCTTTGCAGCTGCCACTGGCTCGCTTCATCCCTCATCTTCAATATCTCCTACAATACAATCCAACAAAAAGTATGTATATATATATATCCCACACAAACCTCTTGTACAGCTAGAAGTCTTACGTTTAGTACAAGAATCAGTATACGCTGTATATAATCCCGATTGGGCTGGGAATGTAACTACCAATGGTTTTCAATGATTCCAAATCTAATGTTCTTTGTATCCCCGCTGTGCCTGGTAGCTTGCAGCGCGTCTACTTCAATAGTACCAGTACTTCAAGCAACAAACGCCAACAATACTATGGCACTAGCTCTGCCTCTGCTTTTTGATGAACTTCGGTCTTCCAATGGCTTTCTTTCTCAAGGAGTTCCTGGGCCGAAAGGTCTCTACCTCCAGCTGTAGCCCAGCTGGAAACGAAAAAAAACATTATACATAGAAAGAAACAACTTGCAGCTTAATTAAACCTAATTGCTCTTGACTCTTGACAACTGTCAACCATCTCAGCAAGGGCAACTTGCAACATCATCTCCCCCTTTGACCCCATCTTGGCTTTGGTCTGGAGCTTAATTAATCTAGCTGGCTTTGCCTGCATCTTCTGCTGACTCTGCAGCTGCCACTGACTTGATTCTTCTTTGATCTTCAACATCTCCTGCAATTGCTTCAATGCCAACGAGTCTGTGAAGGATGTTCAACGCTCGAGTCAAGTTGTCCACCCGAACGCGCTGGTAGTTGGAGGGTGGTGGTGCCGGAAGCTGATGCCAGTGGTCCACATGAACTTGATAAGCCGGAACGAAAGCAAGAGAATACTTTGCTCATTCCACGACCATCTAAAAGAGAATTACTATCAATGGAGGCGATGGTGTGCTCTCTAATGCTTCAGCGCAAGTGACACCAATAAGACTTGTATGGAAATGCCCAAACCTGCCCAACCCTAATCTGGAACAACCTTTGTTTTGCTAAGCTAATTTGAACCACTCAAATGATGCTTGTGATGCGTGTGTTCTAATGTGGGGCCCTTTAAATCAATACGCTTCGTTAAGGAAGGTGGGGGTCTCAATTGATTGTATCACGCAAAGTGGGTGGGTGGGTACTTTTTTGTGATAGATAAATTAAAAAAACAAGAAGCTACTAGGAAAAAGTGCATCGCTACTAGTAACAAGTGCATTACTAGTAGCAAATAGCTACTAGTAGCTTCTTGCTGGTAGTTTAGTAGCAATGCCCTTGTTATAGTTTTATAATCAATTCGGTCCTTTGGAGCGATCAATTCTCAGCCTCCCCTTGTAAGAAAAACAACTTCAGCAAACCTCCTTCGGAGCTCGCTTTCGTGACATGTATCAAGACGCAGTAAAACGATTAAACAAAACATGCATTGGTTCGTTTGCAATGTACCCAGTCCAACAGTCCAACTCAATTGATTCCGCCAAGCAATACAAGTATTGCCAGCCAGCCTCTAGCTTTTGTTGTCTTTCCTGCTGCAATTCTTCAGCTCCAAGTCGTACCAACTCCTATCTGCAGCATCTACAGCATTCGTTCTCTAGCAGCTCAACGTTCCAATGGCCTTTAGGCTAGGTTGTCCTGTGGGCACATACATCCTAACTGCGAAGTCGGCTGTGGTAGAATTATCTGCACAATCTTCTCAATGAGCTTAGCGTAAGCCTACAAATTTAATTAGCTTGATGCTGTTGCCAAGTTTGTTGTTTAAAATCCTACTATCCAAGTTGCATTTCAGCCACCCTTGGCCTCGGACTGATTTCTGACACCTTCCCCTAAAGTGTTTTGATCGTGAGTTGTTGCTCCTACCTCCTGACCCGCCTCCAGCTCCTCAATTCGGACAAGTGCAGCTTGAGGCGTCGTGGCCGCAGCCTAACACGGTTGTATAATGTTGTGTGTGCTCTTCAAATCTCTTCAGGCCCTCTAGGCCTTTTCTCTTCAAATAATGTTCCAGCAATTGAATTGTATGGCATTGCAGGGATGGATTCTTCTTTAAGGATATTGCTGCATAGTGCCTCATCTACTTGGAGACGAAGCTGTTCGCATTTCTGGCGCAGGATGGACACCTCCGCCTAGCAGCGACATGATGCAGGAACTCAGGAAAGGGTTGCAGAATTAGTCTGAGACCTGTGGTTAGAGGCTTCCCCAATCACGGCTATATAAATAGCATCAAATAGCTGCCACTAGTACAAATGAAACTCCCATCAAAGTTGCCAGCAATAGCGTTTAGCAGTCCAGCTAAGCAGATGGAGGTACCAATCATATTTTGCTTATCCTGATGATGCCCAATTCCTGAAAGCCGTCTATTGGTTTGTCTTGAACGCAAGTGGACAAACACTCGACCACTTTGCTGAGTGGCAAAACCTACGCAGGATGGCTCAAATCTCCGACAACGTCAACTATGTAATTCTGCTGGATCAACAGCTGATGCTGTCCAACGCCAATGCTGAACCATCCAGGTACAACCCGCAGAATCTCTTATATAATACAAAATGACACCCAACACTATCCAGGAACACTCAGGTTTGAAGTTTGCCTTCACATTTTCCCTAAGACTATTCACTATTCTATTTGGTGATGAAGTAGTGGAAAAAACATCGAGCCTCTAGCTCTTCGCGTGAGCTCTCCCAAGCTAAGGCCTCAAACTCGCTTCATTCAGGGTACAGGAAAGCGAGTGCTAGTCAACACCCAACGCCTCCCAGTATGCACAGGGCATTAGAACTAGAAGGCACGCTACACAAAGCCTGCTGGTATGACAAACCCTGAAAGGATGTTTGAAGGCCTAAAAATATACGCGTTAAGTTAGGCTTAGGCCTCTGTCCCCACAATGCATCAAAAAAAAATTCTACATCGAGTGATCCCCAGCATGGCACTTCAACCTGACAACTTCTATGGCATGTATTGAAACATTACGTCGGCACTCTTTCTGGCATGCATATCTTCTGGCATAGCTTCTGACATGTTTTCTGGCATATGCTCTATGCTCTGACATTTTTCCGGCGTATCTTCTAACAGTTTTTCTGACATTTTTTCTGGCACATCTTCTGACACTCTTTCTGCCGTAGCTGGCGGTGAGGTCCGGCCGGAACACTGCCGGCTGGAGCTGGCGGTTGAGGTCCGGCGGGGAACACTGCCGTCCGGAGCGGGAACACTGCCGTCTGGAGCTGGCGGTTGAGGTCCGCTGGCAAACGCTGCCATCCGGAGCTGGCGGTTGAGGTCCGGCGGAGAACGCTGCCATCCAAACTCGCGGTTGAGGAGGTGGAGGAGAGGAGGAAAGGAGAGGAGCAGCGCGGCAGCTGACATAAAATCTAACAACCCTCCCCTCACAGGTGGGGAAAACTAAATGCGTGCCGGACAATGAGTTTGGGCCCGTACCGGTTTTCAGTTTCTGCTCGCTCTCTGTATGTATTTGGGTGGCCGCCGTGGGTCAGGTTTTTGCATATGAGTGGCGAATAACAGAGTATAGTAGCAGTTTCAGAATATAGTAGTAGTCGTAGCAGTTTTTAGTAGCAGCAGCAGCAGCAGCAACAGGAGGAGTAGTAGTAGTAGTAGCAGCAGCAGCAGCAGCTCTCATCTTGGTAGTAAAGGTAAAGGTTTTTAGTGATAGTAGTAGTAGTAGTAGTAGTAGTATTAGTAGTAGTAGTAGTAGTAGTGGCAGCAGCAGCAGCAGCAGCAGTAGTTGTTGTTGTTGTTGTGGTAGTAGTAGTAGCAGCAGTAGTAGTAGCGGTAGTAGTAGCGGTAGTAGAAGTAGAAGTAGTGGCAGTGGTAGTAGTAATAGTAGTAGTAGTACTAGCAGTAGGGTAGTAGTAGTAGTAGTAGTAGTAGTAGTAGTGGAAAAAGTAATGGTAGCAGTACCAGCAGTAGTAGCGCTAGTAGGTTTTGTAGTTGTACTTGCGCTTGTACTTGTATAGTAGTAATGGTAGTAGTACTAGTAGTAATAATGACCGTAGCAGTAGTAGTAGTAGAAGTAGTAGTAGTAGTAGCAGCAGCAGTAGTAGTAGTAGTACTAGTGGTAGTAGTGGGAGTCGTGCTAGTGAAAGTTTTTAGTACTAGTAGAAGTAGTAGTAGTAGTAGTAGTAGTAGTTAGTTATAGGTAGTAGTTATAGTTAGTAGTATAGTAGTAAATAGTTAGTAGTAGTTAGGAGTAGTTGGTAGTAGGTAGTAGAAGCTTTAGTTAGTATATAGTATACTGGGCGCAGATCACATGGGAGTTATGGCGTTCAAGTGACATGAGGAATAGAATAGGTAAGTCCTATGTCACGTGAAAAACGTGTTGGCGCCTAACCGTAAGGCCAACACCACACACACACACCCGATCTGGCGCCGGCGACGATCTGCTCAGCTCAGCTGAATCCTAACTACAAAAGAATGAGCTCTGCAATCTGTGCCAACCAGGCGTCTGAGTTGACAGGATTGCTTTCAACGTGTCAATCCCAAGTCACTCGTTTATATACAAAGCAGCCTTGTATTGGGCTGCGTCGGAAATCTGGAGTCCACTATGTTGGCTTTGGTTCTTTTACTTGATGACATGGGCTTAATCAAGGCAGGTGACATGGGAATGTGTGAGTGCCCATGTAACATGTATGTTTCTAAATCCCATGTTATCCGAAGGTAGTATAGTTAGTAGGTTGTGCTTTGTACTTAGTAGGTAGTACTTAGTAGGTAGTAGGTAGTAGGTAGTAGGTAGTAGGTAGTAGGTAGTAGGTAGTAGTAGTAGTAGTAGTAGTTGTAGTAGTAGTCGTAGTCCTAGTCCTAGTCGTAGTCGTAGTTGTTGTTGTAAATGTTGTTGTAGGAGTAGTAGGAGTAGTAGAAGAAGTAGTAGTAGTAGTGGCAGTTGTGACAAAAATAAATTGGCAGTAGCGGCCGCAGCCTCCCATCAACTATCAAGGAGGTAAACGCAAAGAAGGCAAGCGTTCAAGTGGGGGGCTGGCTACCCTGACCACTACTAGGACTTAAGAATGGAAGCCCGACTCAAGTCCCAAGAAATGCAAAGACATTACTGACATTACCTTCTCATTTTAGACGTAAGAAGATATCAGTTTTGGGTGGGCCCCTATCGGTCCTGCAGTCCGCCGAATACACGATGTCCAGCCGAAGACTACTGCCTACTTCTGCCAAGTCTGTCGGGGACTCATATAACCCAAGATGGCACGGCTCCCTCCTAATACAGTACGCAGGATTGTCGCCGTGAAGTGGCAATCACCGTGAAAATTTGCATGGTGCGAAGCGCCTTGCAGGCTCGCAGGAAGGACAAAGCGTGTCACAAACCCAGCGTCAGCATTCTTCTGAGCATCCAGGCTTCAGCTAGCTGCTCTTGTAGTCTTTGGCATTCCAATTCCACCTGAACGTCGCGCAAAAAGAACAGGAGCCCAAATCCTTCCTTCAGGTCTCCAGCTATGTGGGCCTATTCAAAAGCAAGCTCAAGACGCTGAGGTACGTGCGTTACAACAAGGGGAACAAAAGGAGACTATGGAGATGCACTACCTCGTCTTTCAAAAAGCGCGCGTGAAAACACCATGGAATGCCCACATTCCAAACAAGCAGCGATTCAACAATTTGTGATGTAGGGATCCCGGGAGAGACTGGGAGCCAACCTCCGAATCCATTTGGCTGAGGTGCAGCACGGACCTGGACGAACAAGTCAAAATTCTTGATGTTGGAGGACGACATGGACAAGCTATTGGGGGCACGAATCTGAACTGAACTATGACAAAAATGTTGAAAGAGTCTCAGAGCACACTGCGACTGTGATTCGTTCTTGTAGGTCCTATGTCACTTCCTGTTCAGTAGCAAACGTGAAAGCAGAATATACTTCCTTCAACCATGCACGCGCCAATTCAATCACTTAGCCCTGCTGACGTGAATGTCAGCTGCGACGTATTCCCCCAAACAGTGTACTAGGGGTTCTTTGTTTCGGCCCGAACTCCAGACCTTGAGACGTCTAGAAACCTCTACACGTCCAGATCTCCACTCCGGGTCTCTAGATCTTTCTAGTCCTCTGAACTTCTCGACCACTCCTCTAGCTTTCTAGCCCCTAGACCTGCTTTCTACACCTCTAATTAGACCTTAAGGTCTCCGAGATGAAACTCTGGACAGGTGTGAGTGGTTCTCTCGCACAGTTCTCACGCAACACTGTTTAGGGTCTCTTGCCCACAGAACCGCTGCCAAGAGTCTCTGCCAGCCCGGAGTCCCTCTCCATGCGCAGGCCTAAGCTTGACTGTCTTGTGACCTTCTTGACACGCTTATCCTGCTGGCACTAGCAACGGAGCAGCAGCAGCTCAAAGCAGCAGCAGCAGCAGCAGCAGCAATGAAAACCTATGATATATATATATATATACTCTTATATGGGTGTGGTCAGGAATTTGGTATGGATCGGTCCGCGCTGCATCATATATATATATATACATATCGTAAGACTACATATTTTGACCATTTGCACCTCGACCTAGGCGGCGTGGGTGACAAACACCATGCCCCTTTCAAAGTCAGTTGCTCCAGGGCATTGGCCGGAAATCTCACACTCAAGCATGGAGATATGCTGCTTCAATTCCTCAGACTGCCACAAACAGCAGAGCTGCTGAAGCCAAGCGACTTCTGTTCTCTAAAAACATATAGGCCACCAAACCAATAATGTTAAATCTAATCAAACCAAAGCATAGCAAAACAAAAGCAGCAACAACCAAATTGATGCCTTAATTGAAAAACCTAGGCGCACTGTTCTCAGCAAACAATTGATCATCACATACCTCAAGCGATCAGGCACCAGCGCAGTGAGAAACTGCTGCGTATTCAATGGACTTTCCAAGAGTTCGAGCTGCCTGCGTTCATTGTTGTTTCGCGCCATGTCCATGTCCAAAGAAAAACATGTTTGTTCAACAGTGTCTCATAGTGTCTCCAGTTTGAGTCATCCGTAGCAAAGGGCCACGATTTGAACACCTCAGTTGACCACCTTGTTTCCCATCAGCCAGCTTGAAGCTGGGCCTCCCTACCCGCTCCGGACTTTGCAGCTGAGAACGCTGCTTCTGGCGCAAAAACTCTAACAGGACCAAGGCTAAGCCAAACTAGCGCAAACACAAAGGCATCAAACACAAATCGAAACAAACACAAACATACCAAAAGCTCTGCTGCACCATGATAAGATCTTATCTTGTGAATCTAGGATCTAAATTCCCTCCGGCGCTCCGGCAGCGCGGGCCATTCAAGCAACAACCGCATCAACGGCTATCTTGAAATTCACAACCATAAGCCCTCCTCGGCGCTGCGATTAGAACGTTTGGACGCCAACGTAACGTCTCACGATCGTCACTTCCCCACACCCACCAACTGATAACAACCATCACACGCCATCACACCATCTTCCCCGATCTCTCAGCCTCTATTTCGGCATTGATGTTCAAGGCCACAGCCGCCTTCAGTGCACCGAACCCAGCTGACCGATCCTACACCCAGTACAGATTCAACATCAGCCTTATGGAAGTTCACGCAAGGTTTAGACCTAGGATCCTGTCAATTTCATCAATCCTCGCCGGTCCCCAATACAGTGTTCCACCGCCAAGTTACCCTTACTTATAACTTGGGGTAACATAGGTTGTAACATGGTGTAACATAGGTTCAAACATGGTGTAACATAGTTTAAGTTCACTAGATTATATGGGAACTTATATCTTAGTTATAACTAAGTTGTTTTTAACGAACTTATAACTAAGTTAGTTCCAAACGCTAAAAATAAATTAGAGAAGTTAGCGAAGTTAGCACTTTAACGTCCGGCTTTGAAACTTTTTACCTGACACTGCAGACATGAAAGCGCTATTTCACAAAAAACAGTTTCGCGCTTTTTCATACACGTTTCAAGAAACTAACAACTCTCTGTTTCGGGGTGGTGGTCCACCTTCCTGGCATGCAGGTGGTGGTCCACCTTTTGATCTTTTTTTTTGTTGGTCCACTTTTTGAATCCTCACACGATGGGCTGCAGTCTGACTTAAGTACAGCCATTGTTCCTGAAACGCGTGTATTTCAATGTATTTGGAGGCAAGAAAACTTAGACACACTAATTTTGGGCACAGAATCCTTCATGAACAATGGTAGATTTTGTTTGTTCACCGAAAGCCTTCACGAACTCGTCCCAGATTTTTCTTGTAAGTCCAGACTCAGGACCGTCTCCACCACCAGAGTCTCATGCCGAAGTGCCTGCACAACCTCTGGCGCGCCTCGAGGCTGAGAGTCCGGGGAAGCCATGGTCGAAGCCGAGAAAGTTGAAAGGTGGAGGGCCAAAGGTCTTGACTGCTTGGACCACAGCCGAACACATACAAACACATTTTGAACAAATCTTAACACATCTGTGTTAAAAACATGTCTAAATGTGTTAAGTAAAGAAACGAAACACGAACGCGTTTGGAACACATTCTGAACACATATGTGTTATAAAAGGGGTTAAAATGTGTCAAGTAAAGAAACAAAACGCGAACACATTAGTAAAGAAACAAAACACGAACACATTTGGAACACATTGTTAACACATATGTGTTAAGAATGTGTTAAGAACGTGTTCAGTTGTGTTATATAAGTAAAGAATCCGTGGACCACCACTCAGCGGACCACCATTCCAAAATAGAGAGTATACGTGTTCGGTGTGTATCAGTAACTTGAATGAGTGGACTGCCACTCCAAAATACACTTGAATGAGTGGACCGCCACTCCAAAATACAGAGTATTCATTTTAGAAGTTCATCAATATCTTGGATGTGCGCCCGGAATGTGTTTGCTAAAGAAAGCGAACGTGTTTAGAGTGTGATTTCTGAAGAAAGTAGACCGTCCTGGTGGCATGTCACAGACACTGAAGCTGTGTGCTTGCTGTAGAAAACAGTCACGCTGCTGCAGCCTTTGTTGCGAGTGGTCTACCTAATTTGCATCTTCTTGTTGGGCGGTGGTCCACCTAAATTGCGACTTCTTGTTGGGTGGTGGTCCGCCTATAATTTCTTTGAGCAACATAATTGTCAAAATTTGAGTTTGTTTGTTACTTTGGTTCATTTTTTATTGAACATGCATATGTTTAAGTTAGAAAAGTTACACCAAGTTATAACTTAGTTATTTCTTAGGCTACGTGAAACTGATATAACTTAGTTATAACTAATTTATAACGCTAACCAAGAGCAAAGTATCTTAACTTGGCGGTAGCACACTGTAACTATTCAAAACGTGCCTGGGAACGCAACTCACAATTATCCTGGTCTTCTTGCGATTCCGAGTTACGCGCAGTCGAAACATTGACTTGGGGCGGTACATGTACGCAAAATGTTCCAAAGGTCTCTCGCGCCTCCTCACACAGCTGCTGGCATCGTCTTTGCGCGCGCATTTCCTGGCTTGCTGTGATATTCAACGAAAGCATCGCGCGCCGCGCTGGCTTTCTGTGTAAGTTTCATGAGTGTGGAGCTGGCCGAGGCCGTGTACACCAAACTAAACGCAAAAAACACGTAAACCAAACAATGGTCAAACAAGAAACTGCAAAAGCGTGGAGTTTGGACACTGCGACGCCTCTTTCGGATTCGCGGAATTCATGGCCAAGACCTGCACCCGCCGCTTCAAGGTCTTCTTCGCCTTTGCCATCTGCGCCAACCGTTCCTGTAAGCGTTCTGCCTCTGTCCGCGCGAAGATCAACCTCGGGCAACAATAAATCGCGGGGGTAAACAGGTTTCGGATGCATTGTTTTCTCGCTTACACCACCGGCAACCTTTTCTGCCTGTCCTTGATCAAAGGGCATTCAGTTGCGCCCAGTCTATGAGCCCTCAACGTGATTGTCCAGATCAAAAAACCTCACGAAACAGGCCCCTGGAGGCACGCATGCGCTTGGCTTTCATGCCGGGGATCCTCGCCACCAGCTCAAGCCCTCGCCAACCGCTCTCGCGGCTCACACCTTGACCCCTTCATCTTCCACTGTTGGCTCTTCCTGGCCCTTCGCACTCTCCTTTCACCACTGTCCAGCTAGGGCAAGGTGAGGCCAACTTTCCCCTACAAGCGCCACACACCGTCCTCCATTGTCAAGATTGAAGACACGACCAGCACCTCTCCCTGGTTTCATCCTTTCCTGACTCATGAAGAACATGTGAACGTGTAGGAGTCCCATCATCGACTCTCCTTTTTCAGAGACCCACTGTAGTCCATCCGTGATATTGAGTCATTCCGATGATTTTCGGGGTCAATCACCATTTTTGTCAGAGGAACCTGTGCAAACTGCTTGGCCACGGGAGGGGCTTCGTCTGGTGGAAAGTTGCGCAGGCAAAGCTGGACAAAGTTGCCCAGTAGTGGGGGGACCCCACTGATGCTGGTTGAAGAGTTGGACGTGGCATATGGGTGGAAGCTACCTCAGTGGAGAGAAAGGGGAACCAGTTTGCGTAAGGAGCAAGGGCAAAAGGCACCACTTCAGGAACTTTTTCCAGAGGTGCGGTGCTATGATGAGCCTAACCTCCGGACGAGGCATGAAAAGGAGAAGGTGTTCAGTTCTTCCTGTTGCGACAGCGCCTTTTCTCCGGACCACGGAGAAGTGGTGGAAGAGAGCCAAAGGAAAAGGGCAGAGGGGCGGTCTGCGTGGAAACTTTGCTCAGAGGGGGGTGTGAGTTCTCGATCTCCTCTTGGCTCTAATTTTGCCGTCCTCAAACCGTGCGGACGTGCGGCCATCAACCTTCAATTGAAGGGTGGACTTCACTGCCCGAAGAGTTTCACACCACAGGCAACCTTTTCTGCTTGTCCTTGATCAAAAGGGCTTCAATTATGCCCAGTCTATGAGCACTCAACATGATCCAGATCAAAAAGCCTCACAAAACAGGATTTTGATTGTTGTTGCAAGATCTTGGCGGTGCCCCTGATAATGACATGCGGAAAAAAAGGACCGGATAACCCCACATGATAAGTTTTACAAATTTCAAATGTACATGAACATCACATGGGAGACGGAGTAGTGAGATGAAAAGTCAAGAACGAAGTGTGAGGAGAGAAGGTATATGAGGCGGTTATGCTCAGACGTGCAGTATAAGTGATGATGTGATGGACGAGGATGAGAAGGAGGGGAGGGAGGAGGTGTGTGTGTGTGGTAAGATGGCGCGCGTGTGTGTGTGTGGGTGTGTGATAAAGTGTCTGATGATGTGATGAACAAGGATGAGAGGGACGAGAGGGACGAGAGAGAGAGAGAGAAGGAGGCGGAGAGAGATGTTTGGAGGCTCTGGATTTTGCCATCAGATCCGCATCCGACCTTCAAAACGTAACACACTCGAAACGACCATCAAAGCTATCAAGTGGTCTTATCCCGACCACGGCGGGCAGTGTTAGCAGGATCTAAAGCAAGAAGAGGTGAGACACGCTTTTTTTCTCTCGCGCAGAGATGTAGAGTGAGCTCCAGGCAGGACCTGAGCTCCGGTCAACTCGCACAAACAGTGAGTATTTGCAACACTGAAGGCGGAGGCTAGCACAAAACATCAGAAGTGTCGATGTCAGAAACGAACTTGGTCAGTGCCAATTCTTTTGAGAAACGAACTCCGTCAGTCGTTATGCAACGCAAGGCAGCGTTGTTTTCGACTCTTTTCGCAGCAGTGTATCGCCACAGTCTGTCCAGCTCGTCACGTCGACTCGCCGGCGTGCCAGCTCACAGTTCTTGAACTGCAGCAAAAATGCGAGGTCTTAGAAAGGAATTTAGGTTCTTCTCCCAAGTACGCAATGCCCAGAAGACATGCGGTCGATGCTTCCAGGGGTGATGCGTGGGACGGGCCGTTGCTTCGCTGTAAGCCGTCTACAGTCACACAGTCTGACGGGCACTCTCGCTCTGGCACTGCACTTTGAGTGAGTCTGGTCGTCTCCAAAACACAAGCAGTCTTGCTATCTTGAGTTAGTCATTGCCACTTGAGTCACGTAAAGTAAATATCAAAACATGCCGCAGTGACTTGTCAGCACTCGTCAGCAGACAGACCTAAACAACAACATTCTTCTTTGTGACCAAAGCACATCTGTTCTAGACGTTATCCCTATAGATGTATAGACTCGGAAGTTCAACATCAAAGTTCGTCACGTCCACTGATCTTCAAAATCGTGCAAAAATGTTGAGGCCGTGGCATGGTGACTTGTCAGCAGACGAACCTCAGCAGGCAGCTTTTGATAATCTCACTCTACAAACCAAAACCAGCTAGAAGTTCAGCCCAAAAATGAATCTCCACCATCATCATCAACCAAAAAGGCCCAGACCTTGTAGCCTGGGTCTCCGCGACAATCCGAAACAGCTGCGAATGCAATCGGCTGCGAATGCAACCGACACAGCGGCGGGTCAAGTCAGTGCTTTAGAACATGTCATCAAAACATGTCAGGTACACAATGGCTGTGGAAATCACAATGGGAGTGGCGCACAGAGACGAGGCCGCAATCATGAGAACGCAGTGACAACACTGGCCATGTAAATCACAATGGCAGTAGCGCAGAGACGCGCTTCACAAACGCCCTCGCTGCAGCATTTACAATGCGCTTAGCATACAGTGAGAGCCATTGCTTTGCAAAACACAATGGCAGGAGCGCAGAGACAGGCTTCTCAAACATCCTCCCCGCAGCACTTACAATGCGATTCGCAGGGGCCCCCAGCGGCGACAACGCGCGCCGCAACCCCTTCTGCAGTCTCTGGGGACTACGCCGGCCACTGCGGAGAGAGCCGGGCCCCCAGCGGCCACAACGCGCGCCGCAGCCCCTTCTGCAGTCTCTGGAGACTGCGCCGG